GGCCTAGAGGGGGAGAGGAGGGGCTTCTCTACGAGCAGGTGAGTCCTGAGAGCCCCCTGGTGTCCCCAAGACCCTCGTGGTGTCCCCAATTCCTCCCTTGACACCCCCAATTCCACTGTTCACAAACCCAATCCCTGATGTTCCCAATCCTCCATCTCACCCCAGGAGCCCCCCCTGGACCCTCTGACAAAAAACATCCCCCCACACACGCTCACAGAAAGGCCAAGGGCATCTGGGGACACCTTGAGGACAGTTGGGGGGCTTTGTGGGGCATTGGGGGATTACTGGGGGATACTGGGACACACTGGGGGGAACCAGAGGGCACTGGGAGGGACTGGGGAGTTACTGGGGGATTACCAGGACACAGGGGGGGGACACTGGGAGGTTACTGGGCCATACTGGGGGTTACTGGGTGCTCTCTGGAGGATCACTGGGCCACACTGGGGGGCAGTGGGAGGTCCCTGGGACACACTGTGTAGTCACTGAGGGGGTTAATGGGCCACACTGAAGGTCACTGGGAGGTAACTGGGATATACTGGGGGCACTGGGATCCCCTTACCCAGATGTGGTACAGCTCCCCCCCGCACTTTGGGGGGCACCCCCAGGACCCCTCCCCTGTGTGCTGGGAGATCCCCTGAACCCCATTGCTGGGCTTTAGGGGACGCCCAGGCCCCCCTTCCTTTGAGGTCTCTGTGTGCTGAGTTTTGGGGGTCTCTGGGGTTCAGGGGGGGAATTGGGATCCCCTTTCCCTGGGGTCGGTCCGCTGGGCTGGCAGAGACATTGTGGTGGGATGGGAAATGGCCTCATAGGAGTTTTAGTTGGCCATGGCCAGACAGGATTGACACAAAGACCCCCTAAAATCCCCTCAAAACTCCTGAAATCCCCTCAGAAATCCACCTCTGGACCCATCCAAACCTCCTCAAAAACATCTCAAATCCACTCAGAGACCTCATCTCCCCCCCCAAGACCCCCTAAACCCTCTCAGTGACCTGCAAAACCCACCTCGGACCCCCCAGGCCCTTTCAGGGACCCCAAAAACCTCCTCAGGGACACTCAAAACTGTCTGGGACTCCCTAAATCCCACTAGAAACCCACAAAATTGCTTCAAAGACACCCCCCAAAGCCCCCCAGGATCTCCCAATTCCCTCGGAAAATCCAAAACTCCTTCAGGGATTCCCAAACCCCTTTCAGGGACCTTCAACCTCCTCCCTAAGTCGCCTCACGACACCAAACCCCCTCAGAGACACCCTAAAACCTCCTCAGGGATCCCTAAAAGCCCCTAAGGGACCGCAAAGCCACAGAACAGCAGAAGAGCTTTCTGTAAAGGAAGGGAGCAAAGAATCTGAGAAGGAGGAGACCAAGGAAAAACTGAAGCAAAGTAATAAAATCATCCTGGCCCTTGCAGTTTTTCCTTCATCTTTTTCTCACTTTTCCTTTTTTTAGGGTTCTTTTGTGGGTTGAGTGGGTTTGAATTTTTTTTCCGAAAGCCTTTCTAAGGAATCGAATCGAACATCCGGGTTCTTGGGAGGCCTCCCGGGCCCCGCGGCCCCCGAGAGGGTTCCAAGGCCCTGCGCTCTGACCCTCGGGAACCCCCGAACCCCCCCCGCGCTAAACCCTCCCGAGCCCTCCAGCCTTTCCACCCACAGCCGCGCTCCCCGCAGCCCCCGAGGGGATCCCCAGAGCCCCGCTCCCCCGCACCCCCCGCCAGGTCTCACAGACAAAGGGAGGCCCCGCCGCCATCACCGATTGCCGGAAGCCAACAGGGTGCTCTGCGCGCGCACCGCGTGTCGAGAACACCGCCGCAGCCAATCAGCGCGCGGCCACGCCTCTGCACGCCTGCCGCCGCGCCTGCGCGCCGCGCGGGGCAACACGGGAGTTGTAGTCCTCGTGGCGGATCATAGCGGCCATTTGCACGTGAGTGGAGTGAGGATAATACGTTTTTTGTGGTTCTTTTTTTCTTTTTCTGTCTTTTTTTTCTCTTTTTTCTTTCTTTTTTTCTTTCTGCTTTCTTTTTTCCCTTTTTTCTTTTTGTTTTTTCCCTTTTTATTTTTTCTGTCTTTTTTTTCTATTTGTCTATTTTTTCCTGTTTTTTCTCTTTTTTCTCTTTTTTCTCCTTTTTCTCTTTTTCCCCCCTTTTTTTCTTCGTATTGCCTTTTTCTCTTATTTTTCTTTTTCTTTTTTTTTTACACTGTTTTCTATTAGTTGTATTTTCAAGGAAGATTTAAACACAGATCAAAAAAATCTCCAGGTACACATCTCACAACAACAGATAATCTGGCATTGTTCCAGATTCATGAGGATTCCCAAGATCGAAAACACTGAGACACGAAGGGTGCTCACACAGGTAAAGCAAGTGTGGAAGGGGCACTTGGCCCCAGGCAAGATGCTTTTACAGCCACTTGAAGCAGCCCAGAGTGGATCTGGCTGGCAAATGGGATTATGCCCATGCTTTCAAGGAGGATTTGCAGAGTACATTGAGGGGAAACAGGGCCATTCATTCATCTACTGCAGGGATGAGAAGAGGGGGGAACAGGTGCTGTGGCCCCAGAGCTTCTCTCTGCTTTGGGGTCAGTTCTGTGTTTTCCTCTGTCCATTGAATTCCCAACAAAGAAGGAAAAAGCTACAGGAACTCCAGCCTGGAGTGGTCAGGACATGGGGAAACAGGGGAATTTTTCTTCCCAGCTGGGATTGAGAGTGCAATTTCACACTCCTTTGGAGAGCATTAACTAAGACATCCCATTTCTGCCCAGGGATCTTCCAGGGGTAACTCAATCCGGGCTCTGGGCAGGTCCCTGCAGGGGCAGCAGCTTCCTCTGCACATTTGAGCTGATAAAGCTGTTCTAACCCTGCACTCCAACTACTCCACAGCAATTTAGGACCTCTGAGGACAGTTCCCCACTGTTTCCACCCCAACAGAGACCTGAACACGTCCTGTGGGCACTGTGTGACCACCCCTGGCATGAACACCCCGCAGGAATGAAGACACTGACTGTAAATACACTTGTCTACCTGTAAACCTCCACTTTCTTTGCTACTATACAGCAATAATATTTTCTATTCATATTGCAGCTACAGACTTAATAAATAGAATTGCACATATTGTGCTTTAGAAATTAAAATGCATTCCAAAGTCAGGCAATGCTAAACAATAAAAGTCTTGAACCCTCCCCACCAAACCAGCCCCACTTTCTGGTTTCAGAACCAGCCCACTTCCTCACTCTCTTCACATAGGAAGAAACTCTCTCTTTCCACCTCTGAAACAAAAATTCCCTTCCCAAAAGTGATCAAAAAGAGTCTACTTAGGCACTACTGCAAATGGAAGTTGTCTTATAACCATTCCTTCTAACTCAGGAAGGGGAGGAGGTGAAGAAAGTCACGATAAATGTTTGGATTCCTTCCTCTTTGATGTCTTCTCTTCCCTATCTGACACTCTGGAACGTGTGCAGGGGGGTCAGCACCTCTTCAGAGATGGTTCCTTTCACATTAGAGCCCCTCAAATTGGCTTCCTGGAGGTCACAACCTGATAGGTCACGATTCTGAAGGGGAAAAGAAAAAGAAGTGTCAATGGAATGCACCCAGAACTCTGTGAAGTCCATTTACCTGAACTCCATTGTAGTCTGAAGCTGGAGAGGTCAGCCAAAAGCCAGCAATCCCCCAAATTACCAGCTGACTATAGGATAGCTGACTCAGTGCAGCCCTTGTGGGCCCTTCTCAGGGTTCTACAAACCACAGCTGGAACTTTTCTGGGCCATACAAATGTACAAGCACAGGCTTCAGTTGGCACAGATTCACAAGGCAAAAGCTTCTTGCCTTCCAGATGAGCTTTAAGGCCTGATGGGTCCTCAGAGTTGCAGCCTTTCAGGGACGCTCCCTCTGCGTTGGAGCGCAGCATCTTCCCCCCTGGCAGGTTGGCACACTGGCACAGACAGGAGTCAGTGAGAGCCGGAAGAACAACACCAAAGACAATCAAGAAGACACTTTTAATTTCTGCTTTGGGAGTCAATCCCATTAAATCATTAGTGTGAGGAAGTGTAAAAGCTTTGGGAACCAGAACAACTCTAGAATCTATTTAAGAACTCGATGTTTTACACCGCTCTGTTTGTTCCAGCTCCTCTCTGTTAACACAAGCCCAGCCCTCCCAAGCTGCAGTAGTTCTTCCTTCCAGCACAGAGCCTGACAGGTCAGCCCTCTCCAGGCTGAAACAGCACAGGTTGGCATGGGCCAGTTTGCAGCGGCTCAGATTGGCCACCTTGAAGTTGATTTAACAAAGATCCAGGTGGGAAAGATCCACTCCACTGAAACTGAGACCCTGGAAATCCCAAGGAACAAACCCCCCAAAAAGGCCTCTACTGACAACAGTTTCTGGGCAATGGCATGGAAGGCTATAGAATACACAGGTTTGGGTTACACCCATCCAGTGATGAATTGGTCCCAGCCGTTCCAACCAGGACACCCATTGATCCCCATTGTTTAATGGGTAGACCTGATGTCCTATTTGCCCCAGGTAGACCTGGTCTCATTTATCCCTATTGCCTTTAATGAGTAGACCTGATATCCCATTTGCCCCACTGAGTGTAATGGGTAGACCTGATTTCCCATTGTCCCTATTACATTTAATATGTAGACCTGTTGTCTCATCTCCATTGACATTTAATGGGTAGACCTGATAGCCTAATAAATTCCACACTTTTAATTGGTAGATCTGATGTCCAGTTTGCCCCATTTTATCCAAAGGGTAGACCTGATGCCCTATTTGCCCCATTGACTCCAATGGGTAGACCTGATGGTTCATTTATCTCCATTGACTTTAATGAGTAGACCTGATGTCCCATTTGCCCCATTGACTCCAACGGGTAGACCTGATGACCTGGATTTTTGGGGTGCCTCTTTGTCAACTCCCCCAAAACATTGTGTGGACACACTGGGGGTTCACCAGAGCCCCCTCAAATGCCCCCTGGGGTCTCCCTGAGATATTGGGGTACCCTCTTTGCCCCTCCCAGAGCTGGAGCTGGTGCAGAACGCCGTCTTCACCGACCCCACTGACCAGAGTGCCTGGGTCTACCTGTGCTGCATCCTCTCCCGAGGTAATCTGGGGGGGACAGGGGGTCCCTTCAGACCTGCGTCCTTCACCTGGGTACCAGGGGACACCCCCTGAATGTCGGGGTCTCCCCCAAAAAGCCACCCCCCCGCCGAGGATCATCTGTGTGTACGTCAACCGAGAGGACACCACATTGGTCGTCGTCTTCTCCCGCCCTGTCGTGGTGAGTCAGGATGCTTGGATTCCCCCCCCACCTCCAGAAAACTTCTGGGTCCCCCCCTCTGTACATCTGTGAACCCCTTGGACACCTGGATCTCCCCTCCCCCCAAAAAAAACTCCAAAACAGTGCGGCCTGACCTACTGAGATCACTGGACTCTATTATAAACTTTACGGGTAGACCTGATGGCCCAGTGATCCCCATTGACTTTAACGGGTAGACCTGGTGTCCAGTTTGCCCCATTGACTTTAATGGGTAGACCTGATATCCCATTTGTCCCATTGACTTTAACAGGTAGACCTGATGACCTATTGATCCCCTTTGACTTTAATGGGTCGACCTGGTGTCCCCTTGGCCCCATTGCCTTTAATAGGTAGACCTGATAGCCTATTGATCCGCGATGACTTTAATGGGTAGACCTGATGTCCCATTTGTCCCATTGGCTTTAATAGGTAGACCTGATGTCCAGTTTGTCCCAATTTACTTTAAAGGGTAGACCTGTTGTCCAGTTTGCCCCATTGTCTTTAATGGGTAGACCTGATATCGCATTTGTCCCATTGACTTTAACAGGTAGACCTGATGACCTATTGATCCCCATTGTCTTTAAAGGGTCGACCTGGTGTTCCCTCAACCCCATTGCCTTTAATAGGTAGACCTGTTGTCCCCTCAACCCCATTGACTTTAACGGGTAGACCTGATACCCTGAATATTTTGGGGCTAAAAACGCCCATTTTGGGGATCGGGAAAGCTCCGATTTTGGGTTAAAACCCAACCGTTTCTGCGCCCCCAGGTGAGCCCGGATGGCCCGGACCTGACGGCGACCCTGGATGGCTCCACCCTGGAAGGGGCGTGGCGCTCAGGGGAAGGGCGGCCACGCCTCAGCCACACCTGGGTATCCTTTCCCCTAAACGGGAGGGCGGGGCTGGGGTGGGCGGGGCTTAGGGCGGGGCATGGGGGTGTGGCTCTCCCAACACGCCTTGACAGGTATCAAAGTTTCTGGACCTGCCCTGCCCCGCAGAGGCCCCGCCCACCGAGCGGCCACGCCTCCAGCTGGGCGTCACCTGGGAGCCCGACTCCGCCCACCACCAGGTGACGCTGCTGCCAGGTGAGAGCCACGCCCAATCCCTGCCACGCCCCTTTGAGCCACGCCCCCTTTCGCCGTGGCCACGCCCCTTTTCTCTCCTAGACGAGGCCGAGGCTTGGTGGCAGAAGCCAATCGTGGCCCGGGAGCTGTTTTGGTAAGCCACGCCCCCCCGGGGAGAAAGCCACGCCCCCTCGGTAAGGCCCCACCCCCCGGGAGAAAGCCACACCCAATCGGCGAGACCCTGCCCATCTGGACCTTCCCTCAGCCCCCCCTTATGTTTCCCTATGAGGCAAGCAAGCCACGCCCCTTTCTGGCTAAACCACGCCTATTTGCTGCTAAGCCACACCCCTCTCTTACTAAGCCACGTCCCTTTGCTGCTAACCCACACCCCTCATGGCTAAACCACACCCCTTTGATTAAGTCCTGCCCACCTCGACCATCCTTTAGCCTCCCTTTGCTTCTATCCCAATATGGGCTCAAGCCACACCTCTTTTAGCGAAACCACGCCCATTTCTGACAAAACCCCACCCCCTCAGGCCCGAGGTGGGCATGGCCAACCCCCAGGTGCTGTGGGAACAGGTGGAGACCTGCCGGGAACTGCTGGAATTGGAGCCGCAGAGCCGAGGTGAGGCCACGCCCACCCGGCCCCGCCCTTGGGGGGGCAGAGCCATGGGTACCAGTTCACACCAGTTCGTCCCAGTAAGGGACCAGTGTGCTTCAAACCCCCTCCCAGTGCCTCCCAGTGCTCCCAGTGCTCCCAGTGCCTCCCAGTGACTCCCAGTCCTCCCCAGTGCCTCCCAGTGCTCCCAGTCCATCCCAGTCCATCCCAGTCCATCCCAGTGACTCCCAGTCCATCCCAGTCCATCCCAGTGCCTCCCAGTGACTCCCAGTCCACCCCAGTGACTCCCAGTCCATCCCAGTCCATCCCAGTGCCCCCCAGTGACTCCCAGTCCATCCCAGTCCATCCCCGTTCATCCCAGTGCCTCCCAGTGCCTCCCAGTGCCTCCCAGTCCTCCCCAGTCAATTCCCCTCCATCCCAGTGCCTCCCAGTGCCTCCCAGTCCACCCCAGTGACTCCCAGTCCACCCCAGTCCATCCCAGTGCCTCCCAGTGCCTCCCAGTCCATCCCAGTGACTCCCAGTGACTCCCAGTCCATCCCAGTCCATCCCAGTCCATCCCAGTCCATCCCAGTCCACCCCAGTGCCTCCCAGTCCACCCCAGTGCCTCCCAGTGACTCCCAGTCCATCCCAGTCTGTCCCAGTGCATTTCAGTGACTCCCAGTGACTCCCAGTCCACCCCAGTGCCTCCCAGTCCATCCCAGTCCATCCCAGGGCCTCCCAGTGCTCCCAGTGACTCCCAGTCCACCCCAGTGCCTCCCAGTCCATCCCAGTCCATCCGAGTCCATCCCAGTCCACCCCAGTGCCTCCCAGTGACTCCCAGGCCATCCCAGTGCCTCTCAGTGCCTCCCAGTTCCATCCCAGTCCATTCCAGTCCCTCCCAGTATAACCCAGTAACCCTCAAACACCCTCCCAGTGCCTTTCCCATCCCCTCCCAGTCCCTCCCAGTATAACCCCGGGCCAGGTAAGAGACAGAGGTGAGGGGGCGTGGCCTGACCCCGTGTGGGCGTGACCAGGCTGCCTCCTCACCCTATAGCTGCTGCTGTCGGCGCTGGACCCCGTTGGTCACGCCCACGAGGCCCGGAGGCACCTGGAGAGCCTGAAGGTGGGTGTGGCTTTGGGGGTGGGCGTGGCCACCCCGGAGGCTGACCCACTGCGATTGGGCTTCGCAGCCGACGCGGCCTCGCGATTGGAGGCGGCGCTGGGGGTGCTGGGATTGGGGGCGGGGCCGGGGCCGGTGTGGGTCCGCCTCCCCGAGAAGGTAAGGAGTACTGGTTTGTACTGGTTTATACCGGGAGGGGGTGCGGGATGCACTGGGAGCGATTTTTAGGGTTACTGGTTTATACTGGTTTATACTGGAGGGGCTGCGGGACCCACTGGGAGCGATTTTGGGCCTTACTGGTTTCTACTGGTTTACACTGGGAGGGGCTGCAGGACTCACTGGGAGCGATTTTTAGGGTTACTGGTTTATACTGGTTAATACTGGTTTCTACTGGGAGGGGTTGCAGGACCCACTGGGAGTGATATTTGGGCTTTTTGGTTTATACTGGTTTCTATTGGTTTCTGCTGGTTTCTACTGGGTTGCAGGACGCATTGGGAGTGATTTTTGGGGTTACTGGTTTATACTGCTTTCTACTGTGAGGGGCTGTGGGACTCACTGGGAGTGATTTTGGGGCTTACTGGTTTCTACTGGTTTCTACTGGGAGGGGGTGCAGGACGCACTGGGGGTAGTTTTGGGGCTTACTGGTTTCTACTGGTTTATATTGGTTTCTACTGGTTTCTACTGGTTTATACTGGAGGGGGTGCAGGACACACTGGGAGTGATTTTGGGACTTACTGGTTTCTATTGGTTTATACTGGTTTATACTGGTTTCTACTGGGAGGGGTTGCAGGATGCACTGGGAGTGATTTTTGGGCTTACTGATTTCTAATGGTTTATATTGGTTTCTACTGGTTTCTACTGGTTTATACTGGAGGGGGTGCAGGACGCACTGGGAGTAGTTTTGGGGCTTACTGGTTTCTATTGGTTTATACTGGTTTATACTGGTTTCTTCTGGAGGGGGTGCAGGACTCACTGGGAGTGATTTTTGGGCTTACTGGTTTCTAATGGTTTATACTGGGAGGGGGTTCATACTGGTTTCTACTGGGAGGGGGTTCATACTGGTTTATACTGGGAGGGGGTTTATACTGGTTTATACTGGGAGGGGGGTTCATACTGGTTTATACTGGGAGGGGGGTTCATACTGCTTTCTACTGGGAGGAGGGGTTTCATACTGGTTTATACTGGTTTCTACTGGTTCCTACTGGTTTCTGCTCGGCCCCGCCCCCAGGTGATGACGTCACTTCCTCTCCCGGAGCGGATGGTCCTGGTGACCCACCTGGATCTTTCCGGAAACCTCCTGAGGACCCTCCCCCCGAATTTGGGGGCCCTGTGGCGCCTCCAGGTGAGACCCCCCCAAAAATCCACCCCGAATTCGCCCCAAAATTCACCCAGAAATCAGTAAAAGTCTGCCCCAAAATCGGTGAAATTTGCCCCAAAATTCACCCCAAAATCAACAACATTTGCCCCAAAATTCACCCCAAAATCAGTAAAAATCTACCCCCAAAATCGGTAAAATTTATCCCAAAATTCACCGTGAAATTCGCCCCAAAATCGGCAAAATTTGCCCCAAAATTCACCCCGAAATCAGTAAAAATCTGCCCCCAAATCAGTAAAATTTATCCCAAAATTCACCCCGAAATTTGCCCCAAAATCAACAAAATTCAACCCAAAATTCACCCCGAAGTCAATAAAACCCATCCCAAAATTGACCCTGAAATTTGCCTCAAAATCAGCGAAATTCGCCCCAAAATTCATCCCAAAATCAGTAAAAATCTACCCCAAAATCAGTAAAATTTATCCCAAAAATTCCCCCCGAAATTCACCCCAAAAATCAGCAAAATTCACCCCAAAATTCACCCCAAAATCAGTAAAAATTTGCCCCCAAATCGGTAAAATTTATCCCAAAAATTCACCCTGAAATTTGTCCCAAAATTTGTCCCAAAATTCACCCCAAAATCGGTAAAATTTATCCCAAAATTGACCCCGAAATCTACTCCAAAATCAGCAAAATTCACCCCAAAATTCACCCCAAAATTGGTAAAATTTATCCCAAAAATTCACCCCAAAATCTGCCCCAAAATCAGCAAAATTCACCCCAAAATTGACCCCAAAATTTATACTGGTTTATACTGGGATCCCCCCCCATAGGAACTGGACCTGTCCCGGAACCGGATGTCGGATCTGGGGGGCTTCCCGCCCCTCCCCTGCCTGGAGTGACTGCAGTTCCATGGGAACCGTGAGGGAAAGGGGGCGGGGCTTGAGGGGGCGGGGCTGGGGAGGGTGGGGCTTGGGGTTTGGGGGTGGAGCTTGGGGTCTACGGATGTGGCTTGGGGGTTGTGGGTGGAGTTTGGGGACTGTGGGCGGAGCTTGGGGTCTGTGGGTGGGGTTTAGAGTCTGTGGGTGTGGCTGGAGGTCTGTGGGCGAGACTTGGGGCCTCTGGGCAGGGTTTGGGGTCTGTGGGTGTGGCTTGGGGTTTGTGGGTGTAGTTTGGGGATTGTGGGCGGGACTTGGAGTCTGTGGGTGTGGCTTGGGGTTTGTGGGTGGAGTTTGGGGGTTGTGGGCGGGGTTTAGGGTTTGCGAGTGGGACTTTGGGTCCGTGGGCCTGGCTTGGGGTCTGTGGGCAGGCTTTGGGGTCTGTGGGTGTGACTTAGGGTCTGTGGGTGGAGTTTGGGATCTGTGGGCGGGGCTTGGGGTCTG